TTAGTTGTGTACTCAATGTTTATTTCCCAAGGGCATGGTGTATGTTGTAATTGTTTCAATGTGTCATTCAAGCAGAAGTGTGTGTGTGTGTGTGTGTGTGTGTGCGCTGCCTGCATGTCATGCCTGTGTGCGTGGTCAGTGTAGTGGTATGAGGCAAAGGTTGTGGTAAATTGGGTCTGCAGGGTTGGAATAAATTGATGAATTTGCCTAATCTGACAGTCAGGGGGGAGAGATGTGTCTCTGACCCCACTGACGGAATGTAAACACACACATTATGGCATAGATGCACACATGAAAAATAAATAGATGTAATTGAAAAAGCCACCTTTGTACACTCGCCATCAAGTAGACAGACGCAAGTAGACAGTAGCAATGACAAAGACAATACTATATTAGGTAGTGTAGGGTTGTGGGAAAGGATTTAGGGTCGGCACTGCAATGCAAAACATTTAAGCCCCATGTGACAATGGCACTGATGGCATTGAGACTGTCCATTCATGTATTTTGTGTTGACAGTTGTTGCTCCCCTACCCCACCTACCACCACCTGGGAGAGTAGACAGACTCACTCACATGACCTCTTTAAGAATATCTCTTGAGGAAAGTGCTGGGGGATCCAACAGGTGAGGTCAAAATACTGTAAAGCGCCAATGGTTTTTCTGCCCTGCTGGAGTCTATCTAAACACTAGTTCAGAACCGAAAAAGGCTTCAGATTTCCTTTGGCCAGAAGGCTAGAAGCGCTGATCTGGACACATATTATTCCAGTCGGAATTAGATACAGGAAGAATAACTAATCTCGGTCACCAGGGAAGAGAAGGGTCAGAGGCCTGCTGGAATCCTATCATAGTGTAAGAACAGCAATCCACACTAGAATATCCACACCGCACTCTCCTCTATCTCTGTCCCTCTGTGGGCAACTAGACAAGGATGGACTGTCACAAAGGTGCCAAGATAATGAAATTGTATTGCTGTGTTATTCGTGACTATGTGTGCGTACTGGTGTACCGGTGACGACACTGTTCTAAGGAAGGATGCTCAAAGTGCCCATCCTCGTCCTGCCCCTTCCATCACTCCCTCCTTCCCTCCATCCACTGGTTATTGAACAGCAGCAGATTAATCTAGTCAAACCAGGGGTTTAGGCAACCGATTGCTGTCAGAAAAGAGAGTTATTCTGCTTGCCAGAGAGCTAGCTTTGATTACCTCCCAAGATGGTTCCTTTGTTTTCCTGTCTGGCGTCCCTCCACATTGACAAGGTCTCCAAGCAAAGCTGAAGATCCCCTATATTGGCTATTTGGATTATTACTACTATAGTATATAGGCACTAGAGGCATGTGTTCTGCAATAGATTTACATTAGGGTCATTTAGAAAACACAATTTTCCAGAGCAACTTACAGTCAGTGCATTCAATTAAGGTAAGCAAGACAGCCACATATCAGCATAAGCATAGATAAATACATATTTCAAATAATCAGAATGAGCCATAAATACAAAGACAAGGAAAGTAGCTAGGTAAACAAGGGTTTCAAATGTTTTTATTCCTTTCATATCACTGGCAAATATAAATTACTGCTCCACACTTCCCAAAAATTGTTTTCAAATTAAGTGATTTCTTTTAAAGTCAATGTTTAAATTCCCCAAATCAAAAAAATGTGTGCAGAAAACATCCACCTTTTTATAGTTTAACAGACATAAACCCTTCTTAAGCCTTCAAAAGGCAGAGTCTGTTCTGATGTGTGTGTATGACAATATGTGTGCGCGTATGAGAGGGAGAGCAACACACCTGAGACACAGTGACAATAAAAATAATGACCTTTGCGATAAAAACATGTCTACACTTATATTATATATGAATGTATATAATATATACTTTACTATGGTTCTCTTACATTTGTCTGTTTTAAGGCTTAAGCCACTTTGTATGAACGTAACCCAAATATACACAACAAAACAAAAAAGAGAATTCCCAGGATGATATCCTATATAGCTTACACTGGACTACACAGAAGCCAACTGCATTGATCTTCTTGCTCTTTTTAAGAATCCACACCTGCTCTTAAGGCAGATGCTGAAGCACCGAGGGTGTTAACAGAGTGTTCTACAGGGAGGGAGGAGAGCTGCAGCTATACTACACAGCCCAGTCTGCTCCCTCAGGCTCCCTCTGCACCATGGTGGCTGGCCCACAGCATGTGGAGGACAGGGGGGGAACCACCATAGAAATGAATCAGGATCTCTTCTCTATGGGAGCCACATTCACACACAGGAAGGAGTGGAAGACGTATAAAACAGGCCATGGACAGAGGGAAGGAGAGGAGTGTGTGGCTCCCCAATAACAGACATTAATGGTTAGCTTTAATAATACATTAGGTTTTCTTTGAAATGTGATGGCCAGTTTTTTTTCACCTTTTTACTAGTAAACCAATAAAAACATCCATACAAATGCGACAGTGTTTTCCCATTAAAAACAACCCTCCCTCTCCCAAACCATTATAGTTTCTCTCTGAAGACAGTGACGGGACATACACACACCGTACATACACATGCCCCATAGCACCAGAGTCTCTGTCGGGTGTCAATTCACAACATTCCCCTTTTAGCATGGCTACATCGTTCTCCTTTTGGATAAGGTTTTAAAATGACATAGAAGTGCAGCATTCCACACAAATAGACTAACAAATCATACTCCTATTTTTGAAAGATTTTTTTGGTGTGTACCGACCGTCTTCCCATTCTAACGAGATTCTGTAGGGACACAGGTTTGAGGTTCCTTTGGCATTGTGCTGCAACAGTGCAGGAGGGGAGATATATTATAGGCTAGTTGACTACATTCAAAAGCTGCTGCAATCCTCCCCATCTTATCCCCTGGTTATTGAACCCACCATGTCCTCCTCTCTCTACAATGTGTTATAATCTCTTGGGTGGAGAAGCCATTTTGTTTCAGGCCCTCAGGCACAAAGGGAGAAAGCCCACTGTAGCTTCCCACCATCACAGCAATGCCAAAGTACAAACACACCAGCTCCACTTTTACATTTTATACATTTTTATATTCAATTTTTTTTATATTATATACATTTATTTTCCTTATTTTCCTGTTGATAAAGAGGATAGACTTTAAAATAGATAAATATAATCAACCACAAATAAAACAATTTCAATTCTAGGAGCACCGTGCCAATTTTGAAAGGACACAAAAGCCTATAGGCACAATGACGGTTCTAAAAAAGCTCTGGATTGACTATGCTGTGCAAACCAACTATACATAGAAACCCTCACAACAAAAACAACTAAAGCATTAATGAATTAAATAGATATATCTATATATTTACATCTAATATAACTACTTTTTTTTGTTTTGATAAACAGATCTTTCTGTGTAAACTATTTACATAAACATGACAACATTTTGCATAAATTATATCTAACTATATAGACAAGGCAGAGGAGAGTATCTTTAGTGTACAGTAACCTTTCTGCTCTTTTCTTTTCAGAGGTGAACTAACTCACAAGACATTGACCTTCCTTGTAATGTGCTCTGACTGAAAGGCAAAGCAAGTCAGCAAATCTGTTGTGTTCTGCTTGTGGGTAAACTGAAGCAGATAACTAGATCCTTCCTGGCTTTAAAATCTGAAAACACTCCCTCATAAATATGGATGAAGGTAATGCTCTATCTGGCCTACTTTCTCTCGAACATGGAATGTGCTTTAATCTCTCCACTGGTCTACTTTCAACAATTACCAGTAACTTACTGTCTGTCTGTTTAACTTCAACACATATTCAAGTGACTACCACTGGCTACAGTACATGACTAGCAGCAACACAGACACACACATTAAAAGATGAGTTAGACGCCACCGTAATCAGAGAGATTCCCATCCCCCCATCCCATAACAATCTCATGCTGCACACTGTTCTTCATAACACGTTTTTTTCCCCAACTTATTTTCCATCATAAAACTTCAGAATGGCAGGTGTGGACTTAAAAGTACAGGGTATGCCAAAATAAAAAATAAAATGTAATAACCCCCAATTATAAGAGCCAAAAACATGGAGGTATGTATCCAACCGCTAAGCCAGGTAGAGGAGAGAGGGATGGATGTATTGCTGCTGATCACAACAATGACGTGGTTGTGGAACATGGATGACATCACACCCGTGCTTAGTGTTGTAGAACTCCCAGTGAGGACTTTACATGTAGACCGTGCAGGTAGACAATTATTTACCATAAAGACTTACTAATAGACTACACCTGATAACATTACTACAATAGCTGAAATGTCTTTTAAGGAGACATACAGTATATTGATTAAAATGACCACAACTCTTTGACCCAGACCCTTCCTATACTGTCTCTAAGTGCTAAATACCATGCTCCGATTGGTCACCTGGTTAGTCAGGTGACATAGCCCTGTTGTCTGTACCACCACCTATGGAGGGGCCAGTCTCATTGGAGAAATGGGCGAGATGGGAGCTAGAGCTGGGGGTCGAAGGGTGGGGGGGGGGGGGGGGGGGGGCAGTGAGGTGTAGTGTTGTAATCACATTCTCTAGCTGAAGTCTTTGTTCTCGGACGCTGGGAGCTGGAAGGGGGAAACAGCATGGATAAGTGAAAACCTCTATGCTCTGCTCTTACACTGAAACAGACAGCAGAGCAGGAAGGGAGGGAGGGGGTGGGGTGGGGAGGTGGTGGACACAGAAAGGGATGGACGGAGGAGTGTCTTCCAAATCCTACTCATCTTATTGGACCAGAGGCTCTGAATGGGCAGTGCCAGAGACTGATCCTCCATTCTGGTTGGCCGATGGACGGTTGAAATGGCATGATGGGTGTCTCAGGTGTTGGCGGTCTGAGGGGGAAAGAGAGGTGGAATATAGCTGGAGGAGAGGTCTTGGTCAGAAGGCCAGTCCTGCTGGGAGTGAGGTCTGATTGGCAGAGACTGGTTGGTGGCGCGAGTTAACTTGACGATAGAGGGATGCAGTTGCACGGGGGCCAGAGGTCGAGGGCTGTGCTCTTATAGGCTGCAGCCCAACTGCTTGGCCTTCTCCTGAGTGTTTTGGTTCTGCAGGCGCAGGCTGGCACTGGAGTAGCCCTCGTCACTGCAGCTGCTGCGCAGGCTTCCCCTCTCGTCAGAGTCACTCACACTGCTGGTGCTCCACTCCAGATCCCCCAGCAGGTAGTCGGTCCCCTCCACGTCCACATCCAGCTCCTCCTCTGTAACACACACCACAGATGAATACTACGCACTCACCCTAAAACACACATCTGCTCCACTGTGACCACAACACAACTACCTTGGATTACCAATGTGGAATGCACAATTTTTTTCATATCACTGAACAGTGTCTGTATCTATACCTTGGTGAACATAACAGCCATGGCCATCAACAATAAAGCTTTACAGTGCCAGCTAATATTGGTCATGTGTGATGTGTGTGCTCACCCTGGTCTGAGTCAGGATTGTTGGAGGAGACGGTGGATCCTGTGCTGTCCATACGTGTTCTCTCCACCCCTAGCTGCTCCAGACGTCGTTGCAGGTGCCTCTGCTCCCTCTGCAGCTGGTCTAAGGTATGCTGGGCTCTCCGTTCGCTCTCCTCCAACCTCTACAGCACACACACATACAGTCAGACAGCATCCTCACTTTGTGTGTGTGTGTAGTATATGTGTGTGTATGTGAGGCGTGTGTGTGTGTGTGCATTGTGTCAACTGCACTAAGACATGCTGATATCTCCTCTTGCCCTCCTGCAACCTCTGACCTCAGTAGTGTATGTAACAGTGATGCAGTGAAGTAACTGTCCAGTGAAAATCTAACTTTTAAAAGTTCATATTCTGTTAACTCATACTCAAATAATGTTTTTGACTCATCCATTCCAAAAGAAAAGCTGCTTTTTAACAAACTAGTGCTGAGTGATTAGCGCTTTTTGAGGTCTGTTCGGTTTCGGTTCGATTATAAATAAATTATCACGGTTTTCGATTTCGGTTTCGATTATTTGGGTTGGATGCTGTAACACAGAATAAAACAATTAATAAAAGTCCCATGATGGTAGTGACTGCCAATTACTGCGTATCACTTATTAACCATCATTTATTCACATTACTTTAATAAAATATTTCAGTTGTGTATATTACATTTGTTTCACTCCAAGTCATCATCTCATCTATATAGAGCAGCTGCCTATGCTGTCTGACAAAATCACTATTTTAGTAGTTCTTCAAAGTAAATAAGGCATATTTTATGACTGCTGAATACCAACTACCAATCACTTAGATCATGTATTTTCAGGTAGAGATACCTTGCGAAGCAACAGCTGCTCTCTATATCCCCTCACGATCGTGCATTCTTCTGCCTCTTCCGTAGCAGGCATAAAAGAAACAGACACCGGACACGTAAGTGCGCAATGGATTATGGTCATTTTAGCTAATTACCACGTTTTATGCGCTAAACTATGTAGAATATTGGCCTGTTGAAAACTACAAGTCCCTACTACATCGCACAGTTCAGGCTGGATCTGATTTATCTCTAGAGAAACTGTGCAATGTGCGCATTGAGCTCACAGAAGAAGAAAAAATCACAAAATGGAATTCAAATAATTGTACCGACATCGGTCAATTAGTTGTTTAAAAACAGAAAGATAACCTACATTTTGGTTAATCGCTCAGCACTATAACATACTTTATTACAATTTTAGAAATCTGGAAACACTGGACAGTTAACTTTAATATACTGTACTGGCCTCATCCACACATAGTTAACCATGGACATGTTCCTCTACAGGGTAGGTAACCCTAGTCCTTGAGTGATGCAGGGTTTAGTTTTGCCACTTTACTCCACCTTAAAATCACCTCACCAACTGAGCTGTGTACTCTAAAACAAACCCAGATGTACACTAGTCACTCACCAGAGTTAGTGCTATACTAATTACCCTCTAGCTAGCCAGGGTAACAGATCTCTTTTTGTTTTAGTCAACCCTGTTGCTGTAACCATGCCAAGGGGTTAGCTAAGGCAGAAACAGACTAGCCCCCTCTTCTGACCTCTACAATGGTCAACCAAATTGCCCCCTTGAAACAGTAAACACTTGGAACTAATTACTTCCCCGCCCACCCACCCCAATGTGTTTCTTGGCTCTCATCAACAGGCTGAGGGTGGTATGCCTGTTGGAGTCTGGTCCCAATGGAACGAGGGATTTCAATCGCTCTAAACACAGCCGTAGGTGTGCTCTTCTGCAGAGAGAGAGAGAGAGAGAGAGAGAGAGAGAGAGAGAGAGAGAGAGAGAAGCATCATTTAATCAGTTCCCTTAAACCCTCTCAGCAGTCATTGTTCAACTCATATGGAGTCAGCTCTCTAGCTCCCTGTAGCTCTTCTGCAGTAATTTCACCTAGGGCCTGCACCTGCTCATGACTCTATAAATGAAATGGACTGCATCAAACAGTCTTCCAGAAATGTTTAATCTGTTCTGGTAAGGGAATGAGTGTGATTAGGCCTAAAAAACAAACACTTTTTGAAGACATGTAGGTCCATTTTTAAGTTCCATTTTGAAGACGCATGTATTGGATGTTTCTTTTCAACCATGGTAAACCAAGTCACATTTACAGTGGAATCATCTTCTATACAGATGTCGTATCTTAATTTGAACCCTTTCGTTGCAGGAGGAAAATAATCCTGCAGCAGGAGGATTTGAATATCTGAAGAAATATTTAGAATCTCTGCCAGGGGGAAGCCAGAAGCGGTGTTTATATGCCATGCAGTACCGTACCTACATAGTACCTTATGTAGGCTACGCGTGGAATACAGCACATCTCATGGGAATTCTTATGTGGGTTATAATAAACTGACATATTTGTAGGGGGTAGATGTATTTTTCGTTAGGGAAAAACCATTTTGTAGATAAATTGTTTTACTATATGTTGAAGGCAAGCAATAAGCAGAATACATTTTTGTTTTCCTCAGTGCCTGTGTGGTTCAGCGGTTACAGCCGCTTACCCCGGCACACATATGCAAGAGTCGGCATGGGTTCGAATCCGGCACACTGCCCTTTGACTCAAGGATGAATGTCTATTTTTGATGCATGAATTCTGTGTGGTTACATGGTTAAAACAGAAACAACTCAAAAGGTTAACAGTTTAGGCATTAATTCAGAGTGGTTAAAGTTATGGGCAGGCTATGGTTTGGGGAAGGCTTAAAACGAAATAATTTAAAACAACATGCCTATGTATCATCAGTATTCATAGGGGACGCACAAATATCATACCCTCCCCCCCCAAAAATGCTAACCTCCCCTTTTATTGTCATGGTCAGAGGTTAGCAAAAACATTTTTTTTTTTTTTTTGGGGGGGGTATGATATTTGTGCGTCTGTAACTCTCACTCATCATTATACACAATTCATTCTGGTAGCATCCAAATGAATGTAGAAGTGTTTAGAAACATTATATTCTTATTTACAATAAAAGTGACTCCAAAATGACACAATACATTATCTACCATTCATTTCTATTGGGCACAAAATAATCTGAAACACAACCAAAACTAACAGCAAATGCAAGTTTGTAGATTCACAAGCTGGCTACAAATGACTACTTTAATACACATAAGTGAATTTGGTCCCCTAAAATGGGGGGACTATGTAAAAACAAAGTGCTTTAATTTCTAAACAGTTCACCCGATATGAATGAAAATAACCTCAAATTAAAGCTGACAGTCTGCACTTTAACCTCATAGTCATTCCAAATCCAAAGTGCTCTAGTACAGAGCGAAAACAAACCCCCAAAAAGTCACTGTCCCAATACGCAGACATCGACACTAGGGGGGGTAAATTGCCTTTATTTCAATGAAGTAAAACTAATAGTCACATCAGAGAAAAGTGTCTCAGCTCAAAGAAATAGTCTTTGGATAGGCTCAAATACATAAACATCTTGACAGCTTTACGAAATTCATATATTAAAGCCATACAATACAGGCTTTCAATCCACACTACAGACCATAACTAAATTGACAAATTATACATAGCTTAACTATAAAACTATAGGTTTTCACACCTTGTATTATGTGACAATGGATAGGCTAATGGGTAGCCAACAGAATGTAGCCTATTGAAATATTATCAAATGGCCTATTGCAACCATCGATGGCACTAGATTATCGCCAGCTGATGTCTTGTTAAACCATCAACACAAACAAAATTCACCCACACTGCTGATCTCAATTACAACCACTATTGGTAACCTCATTACCACTCCTTAAAATATGTTGGTGTTACCTAGTCCTGCTTGTGTAGGGGACATGAGTTGGTCATGGTCACGGTCACGTGATGAGGTAAGCCCTGCCTGCGAACTTCAAAACCATTGTCTGCCCTCGGCCCAAGAGTCTGAAATGGTCTAAGATTTAGTTGCTCCCGTGGGAGGAATAATGGTCTGGGGCTGTTTTTCATGGTTCGGACTAGGTCCCTTAGTTCCAGTGAAGGGAAATCTTAACGCTTTGACATTCTAGACATTTCTATGCTTCCAACTTTGTGGCAACAGTTTGGGGAAGGCCCTTTTATGTTTCAGCATGACAATACCCCCGTGCACAAAGCGAGGTCCATACAGAAATGGTTTGTCGAGATCGGTGTGGAAGAACTTGACTGGCCTGAACAGAGCCCTGACCTCAACCCCATCGAACACCTTTGGGATGAATTGGAACACCGACTGCGAGCCAGGCCTAATCGCCCAACATCAGTGCCCGACCTTACTAATGCTCTTGTGGGTGAATAGAAGCAAGTCCCGCAGCAATGTTCCAACATCTAGTGGAAAGTCTTCCCAGAAGAGTGGAGGCTGTTATAGCAGCAAAGGGGGGAACAACTCCATATTAATGGCCAAGATTTTGGAATGAGATGTTCGACGAGCAGGTGTCCACATACACTACATGACCAAAAGTATGTTCGCCCTCTGGTTGGTGTTGTCATCAGAACAATGTAGCCCTGTTTGAACAGACTAAGGGCGATTGACAAGCATTCCGGACAATAGAAAAACTAATTTCCTTGTTTACCACAGCAAATCTACTGTGGCAATTTACCCGACACTTGGTATGAATGGAAACTAATGTTGGTGTAGCCTACTGTTATTATTTTATTTGTTTCCTATTTATGTTATCCAAAAGTGTCTGGTACGGTAATTTCTTATCAAGATCGGGGGTAAAATATTTGAAATGTGAAACTAACTCAAGCCAAATCAGGGGGATTGCGTTATTTGTACCAGATGTGCGTGGGCCGGAATCGAACCCACACGGTAGGCCTTTACGTGTGCACTGAAGGCAGCAGCCCTAACCGCTAGACCACCCCAGGCCACGATTTAACTCTATTTTGACAGTTCATTCGTAACCTTAGGAACGACTTGACACTTGTATGTCATAGCCTAGTGGAGACCAATATCTATCTTGTGTTATACAAAAAGATGGTTGTTGATGTGTATGGCTGAATTTCAGATACATCTTTGTACATTTGAATGCTGCAGTAATAGGACCTAGGACTAGCGTTTGAGCGTGCGAGAGAGAATATTATTATGATAGCAAGTCCTGATCTCAATGACTCGACTGCCCCAACATGGAAAGAACTGCTCATTTTCAGGGATTCACGAGGCTCATTTGAATTTCCTGACGCAGCAGGAAAATTCTCAGCGATCAAATTAAGATCCGACATCTGTAGTTCCATGTACATTTCAACAACATTGTTATTAAACACAGAGGAGAGGTGTGGTGATCTGTCACGGTTTCGGCCGAGACTGCTCCTCCTCCTGGTTCGGGCAGGCTTCGGCGGTCGTCGTCCCCGGAGTACTAGCTGCCACCGATCTATGTTTCATGTTCGTTTGGTTTTGTCTGGATGTTGTACACCTGTGTCTTGTTAGTCCTCGTTAGTGTCCTATTTAGTTCTCGTTGTGTGTGCTTGTCGTTGTGTGTGATTGCGCTTCTGTTTCGTGTTTGGAGCTACATTTTTCCCTCCAGTGTTTTGGAGAGGGTTGTTTGCACATGTTTGTGCGTCATTCGTTTTGTCGCCTGTGTGCGTCGTGCATTTTGCCTTCGGGCTTATTGTGCTTCTGTTGTATATATATAATATATATTGCACTAAAGCCTTTGGACTGAGCCTCTGCGTCCTGCGCATGATTCCTACACCACACCCACCTTCAGCACGCCTTGACATGATCACTAGATTTACATTAAGCTGTTCTGTATCCCTTTATTTATCACACCTTTATCTCCACTCCTCACTTCCCCCTCGCTCTCTGTGCTTTGCAGCTAAAGAGGTGTCGGTGGGTGACCACAATACCCTGTTACACAACACACATAATACACTTCCAACTGGAGGCTGCTACATGCACACACAGGCAGGCGGGGGGAGGCACAACCATATTTACTGCGTGTGTGTGTGTGTGTGTGTGTGTGTGTGTGTGTGTGTGCCCCAAAGGCCACATGTGCATGAGTGGGGTGAACTTCAATTGCACAACGATTGCACAAAATGTGGGCTAGTTGAGAAAAATGTTGATGTTATTTGTAGCTCAAGGCTAGGAGTATGGAGAATACTTAGTACTGGGAGTACTCCAGAGGGATATGAGATCATAGCATGTGTTTATCCATTTCAACTGCAGCATGAATGAGTAATAACTATTCTAATGCTCCTGGGTAAGAGAGAGACACCGAGAGCCAACGTGGAAGACCGACACACACCCCCTCTTGCTCTCCAATAAACACACAGGAGAGGCAAACAAATACACAATGGAGTGGAACACATCCAGGTGATGTTCCTCAGAGGCTTAGCTTAGTATGAAATAGTCCAAAGGGCAGAACACTGGGATGACATAACGTGACAGAGTCAGGTTACATAGTTGGCCAGCTCCACCAGGCAGGCTACGCTTCTATGGGACTCAACATAACAGAGGACTTGGACTGAGGCAGGGTGGTGGGCGTTTAAGTGGGTTCATACGAGCAAAAATACAGTGCCTCTGGAAAGTATTCAGACCCCTTGACTTTTTCCACATTTTGTTAGGTTACAGCCTTATTCTAAAATTGATTAAATCGTTTTTTTTCCCCCTCATCAATCTACACACAATACCCTATAATGACAAAGCAAAAATAGTTTAGAAATATTTGCTAATTTATATAAAATAAAATAAAGAAATATCACATTTACATAAGTTTACAGAACCTTTACTCAGTACTTTGTTGAAGCACCTTTAGCAGCGATTACAGCCTCAAGTCTTCTTGGGTATGACACTAAAAGCTTGGCAAACCTGTATTTAGGGAGTCTCTCCCATTCTTCTCTGCAGATCCTCTCAAGCTCTGTCAGGTTGGATGGGGAGCGTTGCTGCACAGCTATTTTCAGGTCTCTCCACAGATGTTCGATCGGGTTCAAGTCCGGGCTCTGGCTGGGC